CCTGTCAGAGTCCTGAGGCCCCGCCCCCCTGGCTGCTCACCTGTCTGCTCTGAGCTCGCGCTCCGCGGAGACGCACGGATTCTTTCTGCAAAACTTTGAAGCTTTTAACAGGAAAACAACCGAACCGTGCCGCGGATCAAAGGAACCAGGACCAGGACTCTGAGCCCAGTGCTAGGACCTGACCATCAGAACCATCAGAACCATCAGAACCAGGACCGGCATCATGTCCCGCGCGGACCAGCGGGACGAGTCGGACTGCGTGTGTTCGGTCGGGATGAAGCTCACCTGGGACATCAACGACCCCAAACTGCCTCAGGTACCGGGTCCAGAACCGAGCCCAGTCAGAACTCACAGCCTGAACCGAGGTCCGGTCCGGTGTGATCCATAAAACGGATCCAAAACTGCAGAAAGTCAACGATCCACCAAGAACCAGAACCAGAAACAATCAAATCAACGAACTTTTTTTATGATGTAATAATAATAATTATTGATTAATAATTATAAAAATATTTTCATTTAAAATAAATAATAATAATAATTATTATTATTATTATTTGTTTTAAATGAAAAATTTTTTTTATTTGATCTGAATCTTGGAAACAAAACGTTTTAAAATTATATAAACTTTAAAAAACATTTTGAAATAAAACATTTAAAATAAAAACATTTGAAAGTGAAACATCTCAGAGAAAAAAATGAAATTGAAACGTTTTCATCGCAGATCCAAACTGACCCGGTTCGGGTTCATTTTACACCTCAGAACCGGAACATCAGAGAAACATGTGAGCCGCGGGTCCGGGTCCCGGTTCGGGTCAGGGAGGTTCTGCTGCGGCTCAAAGAATCATTTTCAACGTTCGGCTGCCTGAAACGAACCGGAACCAAAAAGTCTGAAAGAAAAGTTCCTTCATCCGGTCCAGATCAAGAATCTGCCAGAACCACACAGAAATAAAATCAAAAATAATCATCATAATAAAATCAGATTATTAATTATTACATCCAAGCTTCCGTTTGAAGCGTCATCAGGAGTTCTACAGAACAATCATTCAGAACCTAAAGGTTCTGGTGGTTCTGCCTCTAAACTCAAGCTTTGGTTCTGGTGTCTGGTCAATAATCCATCAACTGGATTATGATCAATAATCTGCATATGTTTGAACAAAACTTCTTTCACTGAATCAGAACTTAATTAATATATTTATTAATATAATAATACATTATTATATTATTATGGATATATATATATATAGTTCCTAATTATTTATTAACCTTTATTTAATCAGGTAAATCCCACTGAGCTCACAGAGAGTCCTGGGCCTGGAGCCAGATTAACATGCAGGGTTTTAATCTGTGGGAGGAACCCCCCGCAGCACGGAGAGAACATGCAAACTCCACACAGAAAGACCCAGGTCCAACAGGGGATTGAACCCAGGACCTTGTTGCCTCTTGCTGTGAGGCAACAGTGCTAACCACTGAGCCGTCGTGCAGCCATAAAAATCTAATCTGTGTACACACGCAGAATGTTCTACAATAAAAATATCAAAATGCAAAGTAAACAATTTTTCAACTACAGAATTTTGTTTCATGTAAAACATAAAATACAAAAAACCTTAAATCTGCTTTTCTTTTCTACAAGTTTGTTGACAAGAGATGTGTGGAAGGTGCCGGATCAAGGTTGTTAAACATTCACAAACCAAGCAGCAGTTTTTATTCAGAGCACTTTGTCATTTGATGTGTGGAACCAGGAGCAGAGGCCGTCAGGCCTCACACAGCTGGACCCAGTCTGACCCGGGTCCAGTTTTCATGGAACTAATCTGGTGTTCATTGACCGTTTTTATTTAGAGCCAGCAGGATCCTAAGAAAACTCAGTCCTTCATTTATTATTATTATTATTAATATTATTTTTTTACAATTATTGTTATTATTATTATTAAGTTATTAACATTATATTATTTACAATAATTACTATTATTATCGATTTATTATAATTTTTCATTTTTTTATTATTATTATTATTAATATATTTTTACAATTATTCTTAAATTATTATTATAATTTACAATTATTACTATTATTGTTATCAAATTATTATTTTTTTACAATTATTATTATTATTATTATTATTTACGTTCTCGTCATTGTTGTCACAAATATGAATGTCTGTAGATTTTTCTGTTCAGGTTCTGTTGGACCTCTTCTGCTGTGGACCGGGTCTTGTTCAGTTTGGACTCGAAGCTTCTTTCCAACATTTTCATCAAAGTCGAAACTCTAATCTGATAATTCAAACATTTCTGGGGAGCGGTGGCGCAGAGGTTAGAGAGGTGGGCTTGTGATCCGAAGATCGCCGGTTCACGCCCCGGCCCCGACAACATCAAAATTGTGGGTGGGGTAGGTGAAACACCCTCATTCGCCCCACTCTGGGCCCATGAGCAAGGCCCTTAACCCCACCATGTGCTCCCTAAACAGGTCTCTCTTGAAAATGAGTTCTCGTGGCTCAATGAGACTAACCTGGATAAATAAAGGGTCAATGAAAAAAAATTTCCTGAAGCTGAAAATCCTGAAAACTCCTCGCAGGACCCAGAATGGGCCCACAACCCACATTACACCAGAGATTACCTGAGATTACAAAAGATGAACTGCGATTACAAGATATTACCAGAGATTACCTGAGATTGAGATTATCTCTTGTTCCACCCGAGTGTATATCATTTTAGAACTTTTTTATTTTTAAGAACCAACATGAGCATCATAATCTGCACAGATTAAACCTGAGTTTACCTGAGATTATTTCTGGTTCCACCTGAGTTTATTCCAGTTTTCAGGCCTATCGATCAGCTGGGGTTAAAGATCAAAGCTCATCCTCAAGTTCACGTTCAAGTCAAGTTTATTGTCATTCACATGACATGAGGTGGAACGAAAACATGAACCCAAGGACCCAGTTACATCCAAAAACAGCAAAAATATAAAGTATACAAAGAAACTGTATACACTTATCTAAAATATACACTAAACACTAATAATGTAAAATAATATGGTGCATTAAACAGCAGGCCGAACATGAGTCTGTGGTGAGCAGATGAATAGGAAAAGAGCAGCATGAGATAATCAGCAGCACAGATGAGTCACAGATCAACAATTAAAGTGACATCACAGTGATTCTCCTGGTCAGAGATTCATGAGTCCAACAGCCTCAGGGTACAAGCTGTTCCTCAGTCTAGTGGTTCTACACTTAATGCTCCTTTACCTCCTTCTTGACGGGAGCGGGGCAAAAAGTGTGTGTGCTGGGTGAGTGTGGTCCTTCATGATGCAGGTGGCCACCTGATTCAGGATGCTCTCCACTGCACACCTGTAGAAGGAGGTGAGGACTGAGCTTCCAGACCAGCTCGTCTCAGCCGCCTGAGGAAGTAGAGTCTCTGATGAGCTTTCTTCATCAGGCTGGTGGAGTTGTTGCTCCAGCTGAGGTTGTTTTTCAGTAACTGATAATGTAATGTAACTTGTAACTGGAAATGTAATCCTGACAATGTTTCTAAAACACTTCTGGAGGTTCTGTTCATGTTCTGGAGCCGGTTCTGAAAGACCAGCTCCACTCACGTGATGGTCAGCCAGCAGCATGACTCATCACTTCTGCTGCTCTGAGGGTTGACTGGGCTGCAGAACCCCACAGCAGAACCTCTGGGTCAGAACCCCAGAACATGTCAGCACTGATGAGTGTGGAACAGCTGGTGGTCCTACAGGTTCAGGTTCTGGATCTGACTCCAGGCCCGGTGGGTTCAGGAAGCACTGCTGAGTCAGTCCGGTCCAGAACTGGAGTCCGGTCCAGAACTGGAATCTGATCCAGAACTGGAGTTCGGTCCAGAACTAGAGACAGGTCCAGAGCAAGAGTCAGGATCAGAACTAGACGCAGGTCAAGAACAAGAGTCAGGTCCAGAACTGGAGACAGACCCAGAACATGTTGTTGGATCTGGTTTTGGACTTGATCCTTTTAAAAACCTCTTTAAAGACCAGAACCAAGGAGAGCAGCTGTTAACTTGCCTCTTTGATCTTTCAGGACTTGAAGCTCTTTGACTCGTTCCAGGAGTGGACCGATGGCTATGTTCGCTACATCTACAGCGGTAAGCTTCCTGTTAACAAAATAAAAGTTTCCAATAGTTTCTGGTTTATTGCAACTTGAACCAGTATAAGAGACGGCTTGTTTCATTCAAGGTCACATAAGAGCAGATGAACTGGTCCAGGGTCAGCTGGGTCCTTCAGGTCCATTCAGCTTATTTCTGTAGCTCCAACAGACGTAAACTAAGGGGGAAAAAATCCACAAACATTATAAAAAGCATTTAGTAAAAGTTCTCAATCAGAGGAAGCAGCAGGTTATGTTGAAGTCAATTCAACATTTAGTTCTACAGATGAGCACAAAGGCCGACAGGACTCATTTACAAGAGACCTGCGTTTTGATTGACAAAGAGTGATGACAGCAGTAAACGACAAAGACAACAATAGACAACAAAAACAAAACAATCGACAACAAAAA